CGCCAAGTGGGGGAGAACTGATTGTCTATGGCGAGGGTACCAGATTGAGATCAGGGTTTTGTTCAGCTGCTAGGGCTCGGCAGTACATTCAGCACGGGTGTGTAGGTTATCTGGCCTATGTGGTAGATACGCGGGCCAGAGATCAGGTTCTAGTTTCAGAGGTTCCGGTGGTCAGGGAGTTTGCTGATGTGTTCCCGGAGGAGTTACCTGGAGTGCCTCCGGAGAGGCATGTCAAGTTTAGGATCGACATAGTCCCGGTGCGGCCCCTATCGCCAAGGCACCGTACCGGTTGGCACCACCAGAGATGCAGGAGTTGTCATCACAGCTGCAGGAACTATTGGGAAAGCAGTTCATTCGTCCGAGCAGTTCCCCGTGGGGAGCACCGATACTCTTTGTCAGGAAGAAGGATGGTTCACACCGGATGTGCATCGATTACTGGGAGTTGAACAAGTTGACGGTGAAGAACCGTTATCCACTCCCGTGGATAGACGATTTATTTGACCAGTTGCATGGTGCGTCTTGGTTTTCCAAGATATACTTGAGGTCTGGGTATCATCAGGTCAGTGTCAGAGAGAAGGACGTGGAGAAGACCGCGTTCCGAACTCGTTATGGACATTACGAGTTCGTGGTGATGCCGTTTGGGCTCACCAATGCGCCAGCAGTGTTTATGGACCTGATGAATCGGGTCTGCAGATCGATGCTCGATCGCTCGGTCATAGTATTCATCGATGATATCTTGGTGTATTCCAAGACCCGAGAGCAGCATGAGGATCATCTGTGGGAGTTATTGGGAGTTCTGAGGCGGGAACGACTTTATGCCAAGTTCTCGAAATGCGAGTTTTGGTTACGAGAGGTCCAGTTTCTAGGACACCTCATTAACCAGGAGGGGATTTTGGTCGATACGTCCAAAATCGAGGCGGTTATGCAGTGGGAGGTTCCGAAATCTCCCTCAGACAGCAGGAGATTTTTGGGATTGGCAGGGTACTACCGGAGATTCATACAGGATTTCTCCAAGATTGCAGTACCCCTCACTCATCTGACGAGGAAGAGGGTGGATTTCCGGTGGGGCCCTGAGCAGCAGAGGGCGTTTGAGACTCTCCGACAACGTTTATGCGAGGCTCCAGTACTGACTCTTCTGGAGGGAGTCGAGGACTTTATGGTGTTCTGTGATGCATCCATCACGGGACTGGGAGCGGTCCTCATGCAGAGAGGACGAGTGATAGCCTACGCATCTCGGCAACTAAAGTCGCACGAGACGAGATACCCTACTCATGATCTGGAGTTGGGAGCGGTGGTGTTCTCTCTCAAGATATGGAGGAATTATCTCTATGGGGTCCGTTGTACCATCTACACGGACTACAAGAGCCTGAGACACATCATGGATCAGCCGAACCTGAACATGAGACAACGCAGATGGCTAGACGTAGTCAAGGACTACGACTGCGAGATCCTATACCACCTAGGTAAAGCAAATGTGGTTGCAGACGCGTTGAGCCGCAAGTCAGCTGGATCTTCCACTCCAGTGACATGCATGAGGATTTCAGTGGATTCTCCACTTGTGGGCATGATCAGGGAAGCCCAGGCTGAGGGTATGCGTCAGGAGAACTGGAAACTTGAGAGGATCAAGGGTGAGAACACCCAGTTTGTGCAGGACAGTCGGGGATTATTGATCTGTTGCGGTCGGATCTGGGTTCCAATGTTTGGTGGAGTCAGACATATTATTTTAGAGGAGGCTCATAAGTCTCGCTTCTCTATTCACTCGGAGGCCACCAAGATGTACCAAGACTTACGATTGAGTTACTGGTGGCCGTGCATGAAGAAAGAAATCGCTTGGTACGTTGACAGGTGCTTGACTTGCAGGATGGTCAAGGCCGAGCATCAGAGGCCGCATGGCAAGCTGCAGCCTCTGGAGATTCCCATGAGCGCTTGAACTACGTAGAGAGGCCAGTGGCCATTCCTGAAAGGAAGGTAAAGGTTCTGCGAAACAAGGAAGTGCCATTGGTAAAGGTACAATGGGAGCACCGGAGGAGATCTGAGTGGACTTGGGAACTGGAGGCTGAGATGCATGAGCATTATCCGGACTCGGGGATGAATTCTAGTTCAAGTGGGGGAGAGTTGTAACACCCCGACCCGTAGGTATATATCTTTACAGCTTTATGTCTATATCAGAAGATCTACTCGACGAGTTGGTGCCTAGACTCGTCGAGTAGGGACGCGTTGGCCACATGGTTTAAGTGACCAACTCGACGAGTCAGTGAACCCGACACGTCGAGTTGGAGCTGGAATGAGAAACCCTAATCCCAAGGGTTTTGCACCCTATTTAAAGGATCCTTTGCCCCTTACCCTCCCCTTACAGCCTCTTGTGAGTCCATAACCCTAATTCGTGTGTGTACTCCATTCTTGTGTGATTTTCAAGCTTGGAAGGTGATTTGCGAGAAGAAGACTTGAAGTATAAGAGGAGTGGTGCAAGAGGAGCTAGTGGATCTGAACCTTCTGCTTATTGGCATCATTTTGAAGGTAACAAGTTGTTACCTTGACCTTCTTCTATCTAGATCTATGCATGTTTGAGATTAGGGCTTTCCTAGCATGTATATTAGCCATTTTTGAGTATGGGCTAGGATCTAAAGTTGCAACTTCAGATCTGAGCTTATCTTGGTCTCTATAGCTATAAAGTCTCCAGCTTTGGCAAGTATGTGTTGGATAAGGTGTCTAAGTCCATAACTATTTCTGGTATGTACTTGACCCGACCCGGCATGGTCCATTTGGGTTGCATGACATCATGCAATTGGATAGACTAAATGAGAGAAATAACACTTATGGTTTATTAATATATTATAAGTTCTAATATATTAATAATATTATTAAATTAGTATTGATCAAGAATTAATCTAGAATTAATTAAGTGATCAAAAAGGAGACTAATTAAATATATGGGTTGATTGTGTAAATCATCCATACTTGTATAGTGGGCTAGATGCTCCATGGATTATCTAGTTGGGCTAAGGTCCATAGGATGCTCCATGGGAGTTACAAACCCATGGGTCATGGAAATGAAGAGCCATGTTACATTAGGGTTTACATGGTGTAACCCTAATGCAACATACTATATAAGCATTCTTCTAGCAACCAAAATCGGCTACACTAGTGAGACAAGAGGGCAAGCCGAATTAGAAGTGTTCTACATTCTCTCAAAGTTTATTCCAAGAGCATTTGGTGTTGTGTGAAACATTTGAGGCATCACACTTGGGGTGCTAGGCTCTCAAGGTTTTCAAGGAATCAAAACAACTACAAGGTATGTAATTCTAGCCATCTTTTATGATTAAAGTTCCCCATGTATGCTAGATAGGATTATGAACCGTGGAAAACGTATTTTGCATGTATTTTAGACAAACATAGATCCAAGGTTTTCTAGGGTTGCATGTACACTTAGGAGTGTTAGAATGCTCAAAACCCATCAGTGGTATCAGAGCCTAGGCTTGTTTGTTTGATACTTGATGCAAAATTGTGAAAAAACTTGTTTTTATGCATTCTGAAGCATGAACGCGCCGAGTCCATGGGGGGACTTGACGAGCCCATGACCAAATTCATCCTACTCGTCGAGTAGGTTCTTGCACTCGACGAGTAGGAGCCCCTGAGTGCAGTTTTTCGAGTTTTGCTGCTGGAAATGGACTAGAAACATTACCCTAAACTGTTTTGGTGTTTTAACACTTGTTTTAGATGGTGTAATGATTGTTCTAATCCATTTACAATGGCTAATATCAAAACTACATGATTATATGTGTTCATATGTTCTTGAAATTTTGATATGATTATTCATGTTCTTATGAGTTCTTGATAGATCATAGGGATTACTTGTTTAATGCTTAATTCATGATCTTTATGTGTTTTAATGGAGTCCATAACTTGTCCTCAAGTTATGGATAACCAAAAGTCACTTTGTATTAATTCCATTAAAAGAACACATAAGTTACAAAAATGAAGAGCCTTCATTTTAATAACTCATAAGTTATGAATTGAAAGGTTTTGTAAAGTTACAAAACTTGCCCTCAAGTTTTGGAACATGTAAAGTCATCTAATAACTTTAGTTCCAACCCCTAGAATTTTAAAAGTTAAAATTCAACCCTTATACTTTATAATATTATAAGCTTAATAATATATATATATATATATATATATATATATATATATATATATATATGTATAAGATCAAGTCGTTTTACCATTAGTAGGCCTCATTCACGAAGCCGGTCTATAAGGGGGGTATAAGGTTGTTGCCTATAAAATGGCAGCTTAATGGGTGTCTACTCTCACCCACCGCTTCCTTGACTGGTGGAGGGTCGTTAGCCGAACGGGTAGGACAATGACTTAAAATTCTCATTAAAAGTATAATGATTATTATAAAGTAACTAAATGTTTTTATAAATTCCCAATCTTAGTTACTTTAGGAAAATGTGAATAAGGTCCTAACCTATGAAATTACACTTTGCACTTTGATTAAGTCGTTAGTGGAGCTGTGTGGTTAATCGGCACACTAACTTGGACTTAACAAGGTAGGCAAAGGGAGACTTACGGTTTTTCATAGGTCGGTGGAGCACGTGTGGTTAACCGGCACATCGATTAAGTGAAAAAACATTAAGGGTACCAAGTAATTTGTATGGTTACTTCACACCTTGTTTTGTGATCCTCGGTATCCCAGTCACAAAACATGAATGGCACACTCGAGATTGAAACATGTCATTGAAAAGTTCAATGAATCTCAAAAGAATATAGGAGTTTCTAAAAACCAAATAAAACCTAATAATTTATATATTTCGTTTTCATGGTGGAAATTGGTGAATCGTCATTCACCTACCTTTCAAATATGTTTTAGCTTAGATTACGACATCCCTCTTCTAAGTTATAATATATTGTGATTGGATCCTAGCCTTAATATTACATTTGGGTGCTTTATTAAGGACTATCTTAATATCTAAAATAAACTTGTCTTTTCTTCTTTTCAGATGTCTTCCAACAATGCTGCTTCTGGCTCAAACCCTACCGGCTCCTTCTCTCTCATGAACCTTTGTGGGAGAGTCATCTTTGATGGATCCAACTTTACAGATTGGATCAAGAACATCAGGATGGTCACTCGTTACGAGAACAAAGAATATGTTCTCGACAAGGAGCTTAAGGTACCTGAGCCAACTGCTACTCCTGAGGAGCTTGCTGAATATGAGGCACATGAAAGAGATGCTACCAAAGTGGCATGCATCATGATGGCCACTATGACAGCCGAGCTCCAAAAGTCCTATGAAGACTACTATCCTTTTAAGATGCACCATGATTTGATGGACCGCTACCATCAGAGTTCTCGTCAAGAGCGATATGAAATCATCTCCTCCATGATAACAACCCAAATGAAGGATGGTGAACCCATCACGGGCCACATGCAGAAAATGCAAAGGTATGTGGACCGTTTAATGAAGCTGGATGTGAACTTCCCCGAGGAGTTAGCAATAGATATCATTTTGCACTCCTTACCATCGTGTTATGATCAATTCCGCATGACATACCACATGAACAAGGAAGAAGTCACCCTCAACAAACTTCAAGGACTCCTTAAGACCGCAGAATCAGGTCTTAAAGGTAAGTCGGTTGTTACTACTCCTACTCCTACTCCAAACTCCGCACCTGTTCTGGCAATCAGAAAAGGTAGAGAGAAGAAGAGGAAGAACCCTTCGGAGGGTACCAAGGGTAAGACCCTTGATGGCTCCTCTTCAAGCAGAACCAAGAAAGGTTTCGTCACTCCTTCTTCTGATCCCAAAGAGGTTGAATGCTTCTATTGCCATGAAAAGGCGCACTGGAAACGGAACTGCCCAAAGTACCAGCAAGATTTGAAGGATGGGAAAGTGAAACCCAACCATGCAGGTATTTACACTATATTATCTAATAACTCACCCTATTCTAACTCTTGGGTCCTTGATACCGGCTGTGGTATTCATATTTGTTCTGATTTGCAGGGACTAAGAAGAAGTGAGAATGTTGAGCATGGAAAGATAAACTTGATCATGGGGAATAGGAAAGTTTCACCTGTCACCAAGATTGGAGTTTATACTTTGTTGCTAAGTAGCGTTTACTTTAGATTTGAATAAATGTTGTTATTCGCTTGAAATGGCAAGAAATGTTATTTCCTTTCATGCTTTGTACAAACAAGGGTTTACCTTTTCTTTTGATAATGAAGTTGGTGGAATAAATGCTTTCTTTAATAATGTGTTTTATTTTAAAGCATTACCTTGTGATGGTGTGTATGAAGCTGTGTCTGTTGTAGATAATTTAGGGAATAATGTGTTGTGTATTGATTCTACTAATGATAATAACTTGGATAAAGCATCATTATGGCATTGTCGTCTTGGACATGTAAGCAAGAAACGCATAGGCCAACTCCAAAAAAGATGGAGTCTTGGAGTTATTTGACCTAAAGTCAGATGATAGTTGTGAATCATGCATACTTGGAAAAATGACAAAGTCACCCTTCACAGGTTCCTGTGTTAGGGGTTAAGGTTTGTTGGATCTAGTGCACACGGATGTGTGTGGACCCTTCAAAACTACCACAAGGGATGCTAATCGTTATTATGTGACTTTTACGGATGATTATAGTAGATATGGATATGTCTACTTAATCAAGCATAAGTCAGAGACTTTCGAAAGGTTTAAAGAGTTTAAACAGGAAGTTGAGAATCAATTGGGCAGGAAGATTAAGATGCTTCAATCCGATCGTGGTGGTGAGTATCTTAGTACAGAGTTCCTCGACTATCTTAGGGAATGTGGGGTAGTCTCACAATTGACACCTCCCAGGACACCACAGTTGAATGGTGTAGCTGAGAGGCGTAATCGAACCTTGTTGGACATGGTTCGTTCCATGATGAGTCGAGCTTCGCTACCAATCTCATTCTGGGGGTATGCCTTAGAGACTGCCGCCCATATACTTAATCTGGTCCGTACAAAGAAGGTTGCCAAAACACCTCACGAGATGTGGACTGGAAAAGTTCCTAATCTAGCCCACATCAAGATTTGGGGTTGCGAAGCTTTCGTGAGACATGACACTCACGATAAGCTCTAACCTCGAAGTGAGAGGTGTATTTTCATCGGCTACCCACAGAAATCCTTTGGTTACCTCTTCTACAGACCTAGTGAGAATGTGGTCTTTGTAGCAAGGAGGGTTGTATTGAGAGAGAGAGAGAGAGAGAGAGAGAGAGAGAGAGTTCATAAGCCAAGGAAACAGTGGGATGCAAATTGACCTTGAAGAAATTCAAGAGTCAAGCGGTGAAGGAACCTCAAACCCTAGCAATCAACTTGAGGAGGAAACTCCTGTTGATCCAATTGACGAGTCTATACCTCTTAGGCGTTCCACAAGGGTTTGGAATGCACCTGAACACTACTATGGTTTCCATATTACTGCGAAAGGTGAGACACTTATCAGTGATGAGACACTGGTAAGTCTGGATGAACCTAACAACTATGCGGAAGCCATGTCATGCGCAATGGACAGCGAGATACAGTCCATGTATGACAATCAGGTTTGGGACTTGGTTGACAATGTACCAGGTCATAAGACATTTGGGTGCAAATGGATCTTCAAGAAGAAGACCGACATGGATGGAAATGTACACACTTATAAGGCGCGACTAGTTGCAAAGGGCTTTTCTCAAACTCCTGGAGTTGATTATGATGAGACCTTTTCACCAGTAGCCAAGATTAAGTCTATTAGGGTATTGTTAGCCATAGCTGCATTTCATGACTATGAAATATGGCAAATGGATGTCAAAACCGCTTTCCTTAATGGAAAGTTGGCTAAGGATGTTTACATGAATCAGCCAGAGGGTTTTGTCAGTACACAGTACCCTAATAGAGTGTGTAAGCTTGAGAAATCCATTTATGGACTAAAGCAAGCACCTCGCAGATGGAATCTTTGCTTCGATGAGAAAGTCAAAGAGTTTGGTTTTTCGAGGAGTGAAGATGAATCTTGTGTATATGTCAAGGCTAGTGGGAGTATATTCATCTTTTTGGTACTGTATGTGGATGACATACTACTCATAGGAAATGACATCCCAACCTTGTAGGAAGTAAAGTCCTGGCTTGGGAAGTGCCTTTGCTATGAAGGACCTTGGAGAAGCTGCCTATATCCTAGGGATAAGGATTTTGAGAGACCGGAGTAAAAGACTAATTGGACTTAGTCATAGTACATACTTGGATAAAGTGCTGAAGAGATTCAGCATGCAAGATTCCAAGAAATGAGAGTTACCCATCCAGAGTAACGCTAGATTGAGTAAGACTCAGAGCCCGAGTACCGAGGTTGAGATAGCATAAATGAGTCGAGTACCTTATGCTTCAGCTGTAGGCTCGATCATGTATGCTATGACGTGTACTCGTCCTGATGTAGCCTTTTCTTTGAGCATGGTTAGCAGGTATCAGGGGAACCCTGGTAAGGCTCACTGGACGGCGGTAAAGAACATTCTCAAGTACCTGCGGAGGACTAAGGACGGGGTCCTTACGCTCGGTGGGAGTGATGACTTGAGAGTTGTAGGGTATAGTGATGCTAGCTTCCAGACTGATAGGGATAATTTCCGCTCTCAGTCGGGCTGGGTCTTTACCTTAAACGGAGGATCAATTTCTTGGAAAAGTTCCAAGCAGGAGACAGTGGCTGATTCAACTTGCGAATCAGATTATGTAGCGGCAATCGAGGTAGCAAAGGAGGCGATATGGCTAAAGAACTTCATTGGAGACCTTGGAGTTGTACCAGCTATAAAGGAGCCCATAGAGATTTTCTGTGATAGTGAAAGTGTGGTTGCCTTAGCAAAGGAACCAAGGGATCACGGGAGATCCAGACACATTGACAGAAAATACCATTTCATCAGACATCAAACAGAAGAAGGACTCCTCGTGGCAAAGAGGGTATCATCAGATGAGAACCCAGCAGATCCCCTCACGAAGGGACTGTGTAGGGTTAAACATCTCCAGCATGCAAGGAGCATAGGGCTGAATGATGATATTAGTTTTAGTAGTTAGATAATTTTTGAAATTTGTAAAGTGTAATTGACATTTGATGATGAATAAAAGTTGTGTTTATTTATGAGTAAAGTGTTGCTATCTTTTTTCAATCGTTTACTATTATTATTTCTTTTGCATGTTTTGACTTCCAGAATATTTATGTTGTGTTTTACATATTATTCAAATTATCCACAGTCGGTCATATGTTGGAAATAGATATGAATTAAGACTGTCATGAGTTGGTTGTAGAGGTCTAAGATGTTGGACATAGCCTCAACACTCATGAGTGCTCATAAGTTCTGAATATTGGATTCAACCCACGCTCGCTGGTATCACTTCATGGAATTTATCTCGAATGATCGCAAGACGGTAATATCATATAAGTCTTCACACCTAGAGATATGTCTTGTTATCTATGAGTTGGTTATACATTGATCGTGCGAAAATGCATTGGTAACTCAATGTTATAAAATGTGTGTTTGTGTGTGATTTAACAAGTAGTAGAACAAGCATATAAGTCGAAGTTTATCTGTTCCTTCTTGGATTAGAAGCGATATATGGGCCCCTCGATGATTTTGTTTTGACCTATGTACCGATCCCGGTCAGAACTAAATTGATGTGTTCAATTAAGTTCTATGTCAAACAAATCGGAAATCGAGAAACAAACTACTGGACAATAAGCAAGACATTGTTCCATGTATTTGTCTGGTTGATATCTAGAACAGAGGATTATATGATCACTTATCTTAAATGGAGTATCATCATCTTCTCAGTTCCGAGAGACCTTGAAAAGAGCTACGATTGTTCATCGGTTCCTGAAGTCATACTTGCAGTTATAGTTATTAGACTTATCCAAGTGGGAGACTGTTGGATAAGGTGTCTTAGTCCATAACTATTTCTGGTATGTACTTGACCCGACCCGACATGGTCCATTTGGGTTGCATGACATCATGCAATTGGATAGACTAAATAAGAGAAATAACACTTATGGTTTATTAATATATTATAAGTTCTAATATATTAATAATATTATTTAATTAGTATTGATCAAGAATTAATCTAGAATTAATTAAGTGATCAAAAAGGAGACTAATTAAATATATGGGTTGATTGTGTAAATCATCCATACTTGTATAGTGGGCTAGATGCTCCATTGATTATCTAGCTGGGCTAAGGTCCATAGGATGCTCCATGGATGCTCCATGGGAGTTACAAACCCATGGGTCATGGAAAAGAAGAGCCATATTACATTAGGGTTTACATGGTGTAACCCTAATGAAACATACTATATAAGCATGCTTCTAGCAACCAAAATCGGCTACACTAGTGAGACAAGAGGGCAAGCCGAATTAGAAGTATTCTACATTCTCTCAAAGTTTATTCCAAGAGCATTTGGTGTTTTGTGAAACATTTGAGGCATCACACTTGGGGTGCTAGGCTCTCAAGGTTTTCAAGGAATCAAAACAACTACAAGGTATGTAATTCTAGCCATCTTTTATGATTAAAGTTCCCCATGTATGCTAGATAGGATTATGAACCTTGGAAAAAGTATTTTGCATGTATTTTAGACAAACATAGATCCAAGGTTTTCTAGGGTTGCATGTACACTTAGGAGTGTTAGAATGCTCAAAACCCATCAGTATGAACCTCCCCTTTTGAGTTAAACGCCATTATAAGCTTAGATTTGATATTCTAAGCCTTTAGAGCCTTGCATGCACGTAAAGTTTGAAACTGTACGTGATAAACATGCATTGGGGAGCGTGATCTGCAATATGGAGCTTTGGGGTGGCTTAAAAGCATCTGAATGAAGAAAGGACTGAAGGGACTCGACCAGTTGCATGGCCAACTCGGCGAGTCCGATGAAGATTGTCGTGGAAGGAGTTCTGCATGGACTCGGCGAGTCAGTAGGGTGACTCGGCGAGTCAGCTAGGGTTTTCCCGACATTTGGACATGCATGAACTCGGCGAGTTACATGGAAACTCGACGAGTCAACCGGGGATTTCACGACTTCTTGAGTTCAGGAAGGACTCGACGAGTCGGTGAACTGCACTCGACAAGTCGGGTCAACATGGACTGTTGACCTTGACTTTGACCTAGGATTGACAAGTTGACTTCTGGGGTATATTGGTAAATTGGAAATTTATGGAAATGATTTTATGGTAAATATAGGTGGTGGAGTTTGTGGCCGTGGTTCGAAGAGTTTGAATTTATCACTTCGATTCGTTAGTTGAGAGGTGAGTTATCCTCACTATATCAACAGGGTCTAAGGCACCAATACCGGCCCTTATCGGATTTGTATCAGTTGACAGGTGAGTTCAGGAAGGACTCGACGAGTCGGGTCAACATGGACTGTAGACCTTGATTGTTAACCTAGACTTTGACCTAGGATTGACAAGTTGACTTCTGGGGTATTTTGGTAAATTGGAAATTTAAGGAAATGATTTTATGGTAAATATAGGTGGTGGAGTTTCTGGTCGTGGTTTCGAAGAGTTTGAGTTTATCACTTCGATTCGTCAGTTGAGAGGTGAGTTATCCTCACTATATCAACAGGGTCTAAGGCACCAATGCCAGCCCTTATCGGATTTGTATCCTGATTATTGCATGATATGCTTATTGATTTACATCCTGGTAGTTAGGATGGTGTCACAACTAGCATTTTTGACTAGGAAATTCTGTCTTCGTGTAATCAACTCTTGTGTAACTTGTAATCTAAGTTGATGTTATGTATACATGGTCATTCCAAACACAATTATTTGAATAAAAACTCACTTGTGAACTTCAAAAACCTAATTCAGAACACCTCATATACTCAACTGTGGATTGGAAACCCTAATTTCCCAGTTCAAACCCTTATTGGGCTAAAAATCATTTATTGGGCCTAATGGGCCAATAAACTCACAACTTGGTTATTTTGGGCTAAGAATCCTTATATGGGCCCTAATTGGACCCACATTCATCAAACTATAACATTTTGGGCCATAAGACTTTTTATAGGCCTTATTGGACCTAAAATATCTCACTTGATTTCATGGGCCTTATTGGGCCGTAAACAAATTCCTTGAATCTCAATGG